AAGGCTCGCCCCGTCCCCGGACGGCAGGAGAATCGCTGCCTGCCCTAAGGGCCGGGATCTTTCGGGTCTGGAGTCGTGGGGAAAAGCTGGAAGCGGTTGTGTTCCTTGGGGACCGCCAGGTGTGTTTGCATGTACCGAATTTTCTCGTTAGTCGTGAGTGCTAACGGATGTTGGGCTAAAGCGTGACCGTGGTGTTTCTGAACGCGTTTGTGACTGACCTCTTAAACTACACGAACGTGGAAGGAAACCACTCCAGCTGCTTCGGAGTTGTCCAGAGCCATCCGAGGGTGGTGAAGTGTGGGCACGAGCAGGTTAGTTGCTCTTGGTGCTGAGTTTGTGGCCCATGAGCCTGTGGCTGCTGCATTTCTAGTAATTCAGGGGACAGAGGAGTTGGCTCTACGTGTCCCAGACCTTTGAGTCTCAGGGCTGTTGCAATTACGGTGCTTAAAGATGATTCTTGGGTGCACAGCTAGCAAAACAAAGCATCTCAAAAAAAACCCTGGTGTGTCAAAGATGATTCCCTTCCTTCCAGGAAAACATCTTCGTTTATTGAAGTGTAAATGCCAAACCCACACAGGAGCCTTTCTGCTCACTGCCTTGGCTCTGCCTCTTGTCTGCTCGCTGATACGACTGCGTGGTGTTTTGCCGTCTCCTTCCCGTTGCACAGCGAGCAGATATTTCTTGCTCAGTGGGATAACAGCAGATTTTGGGGGATGCCTCAAACTTCAGGCCTGAGGCTTAGACCTGAGAGGTTTTCCTAAGGCTGGACATGCTTCTTCTGGGGTTGATTCTGTTAATCATTACCCCAAGCCTCCTGCCTGTTGGCAGAACGATCCTTGCAAGGGGCAGCAGTATTATTTTACAATGTTCAGACTCATGCTCCCAGCTTGGTGCAAGGAGGACAGAACACGGCCCCCGTCCCTCTTACCTTGTTGGGGGTCTGTTGGTTTGGGGTCTGTTGGTTTGGGCAGCTGCAGGCAGCACACTGGGTGCAAGCCAGAGCCTGGGGTGCCTGTGTGTGCCCAGGTCTGTGGCGAGAGGTGCCGTGCTGCGGTGCAGTTCGCCCAACGAGTGGAGCACAGGCTGCAGGCTCCTGTCCAAGCCCAGGGGTGCTGCAGTCCCTGCAGACCTCCCCGCAGAGAACGTGTGCCTGTCTCTGGCATGTGGAGGGCAAGGGTGTGATGGCTTCTGCTAGCCTGGGGCTTGTTTCAGAGCACCGTGTCCTCTGTTTGATTTTAGGTTGGCGATAAGGTAATGGTCCTGGCTAGGTCAGGGCTCTGGCAAGAAGTGGTGAATGTGCCAGTCAGTCAGACTTTCCCTGTGCCTGAAGGGATGAGCTTCGAGGAAGCAGCTGCTCTTCTTGTCAACTACATCACTGCCTACATGATCCTGTTTGACTTTGGAAACCTGAGACCCAACCAGAGTGTCCTCATCCACATGGCTGCAGGTAAATAGTTGGTGCCAGCCTGTGCTGAGACTCTTGGCCTCAACATGCAGCTTCTGAACGGGTGACACGGGTGAGGAAACGATCAGAACGGGGCTGGACTGACAAAATGTCACCTGCCAGAGATGCAGGCTTCACGCTGACCCAGGTGCTGGCGAATGCTGAACCCGTTTCCCAGCAGCCAGAGTCGATCTCCCCCAGTGTGTCACAGGTGTCAGCCTGCGCCAGGCAAAGCCTGTGTTCCACACCCTCCCGGTGCTGTGCATCAGTACGAGCAGGGGAAACGTACCAACTGGAAGGCTTTCCTGGCTGCTGGGGCTCTTTGCTTCTAAGTCTTTCTCCCTGCTGTTTTTCAGGTGGTGTGGGTACTGCTGCCATCCAGCTGTGCAAGACTGTAGAAAATGTCACCATTTTTGGCACAGCATCTGCCTCCAAGCATGATTCACTCAAGGAGAGCGGTGTCACTCACCCCATTGACTATAGAACAATGGATTATGCAGAGGAGGTCCGGAAAATCTCTCCCAAAGGTAGTATATTGGAGGACTTCTACAACTGTCCTGCATTTTTTTCAAGTGCAAAGAAACTTCTGGTTACTTTCGGTTCCCTTTAGGTGTTGACATCGTCCTGGACCCCCTTGGAGGATCTGATACGTCCAAAGCATTTAACCTGTTGAAGCCAATGGGAAAACTCATCACTTACGGTGAGCATGGGCAGCGTGCCCAAAGCCCAGCTCCTGCGTAGGAGGGACTGTGTGGTGGGTGTAGATCTGCACAGGAATGCTCTGCGCTGCTCTGTGCCTGGGCACATGCCACGAAGGAGCATCACTGTTGCTGACTGCTGTGTGTGTTGTAGTTCTGTTATTTCACGAAAGTCTTTAGGATGCTTCTCCTGGGTGAGGCACTGAGAGGAGCGAGATTTGTGCCTTGTCCCAAGAGCTGTGGTCACAGGCTCCAAGGCTTTTCCTTCCCATGGCAAAATCTCTCTGACTGTGAGCTGGTGCCTGCAGGAGAAGCTGGAATGTCCTCACGGAGGAAGGCTGGCACAGCTGCTTTGTTCAGGCTGACTTAATGCACAGCACTAATAGAGCCTTGCTTTTCTTCTAGAGGATATGTGGGTGATGAAGTTTGAGGCTACTGAATACTTATCTCTCCATTCCCCAGCCCTGAAACACTGTGATTTTGTCCTGTAGACAAAGCCCTCACACAGCCCCCAGTGGGATTCCAGACACTTGCAGCAGTGTGCTGCTTCTGTTGTCCCAGCTGTTGCAGCGTGGCTCCCCTGGAGTAGCCTGGCTGCAGGAGAAGGGGAGTGCTGTCCTGCCAGCCTGGCCGGATGTGACTTGTAACCCTCTCTTGCCCCTGCCACTGCTCCAGTCCAGCTGTGCTGCTGCTGCTCTCCTAAGAGAGGAGTTTTTTCTACATTTTTGCAATATATGAATGCTGAGAATCCAAATTCTGCCTGTCTTGAGGCTGAGGCAGGTACCTGTTTCCATTGAAGGTCAATTGGGCAGATCTTGATGTGATCCAGTTCTCACCTCTGTCCTCCATCACCATACCCTGTGTGAGCAGTGGTTACCCTGCGTGTTGTCTGAGCTGTTACATGGGATGCCCACTGCCTCTCATGTTCTGTTGATTCCAGCTCATCTGTGGCTTGCCTTCTTTTTAGGGGCAGCAAACCTGCTCACTGGGCAGAAGAAGAACCTCGTGGCTATGGCTAAAACCTGGTGGAACCAGTTCAGCATCAATGCCTTGCAGCTCCTACACCATAACAAGGCTGTGTGTGGCTACCACCTTGGATATATGGATGAAGAATTTGAGCTTATTGGAGGTGTAGTAGCCAAGCTAGTTAACCTGTACAATCAAGGCAAAATCAAGCCCAAAATAGACTCTGTATGGCCGTTTGATCAGGTGAGTCTGAGATAACATACAGGCTGGCAGCGCCCAGAAATTACTAGGTGATTGTTTTCTGCACATTGAGCTCTGGGTCGGCGTGAGCACCTTGTTCATGGGGGCTGAGCTGTTGCAGATGTTTAACAGCCATCTGTTCTCAGACATTCAGTGCCTTTTTCCTTTTAAGATATTAAGGGGGAGCGAAGTGGCTGGGCTCTTCTACTCCAGTGCACAGAGCTGGGCAATGCCAGACAGCGTCCCTGTGGAATAGGGTAGGTGCTCAGCTGTGTTCCATGGGCAGCAGCAGCCCATGGAGGGGCTGGGTTAGGCATTAGCCTGAGTCTGCACCCTGTAATTATGCAGGCAGCTGGGAAGGTTGCTGCTGCCCTTCCATGAGTGAAAAAGAGCCCAGGCAGTGAAGCAGAATGAGGGTGTTGGAAGGGAGCTGCAGGCTTTTCAGCAGCTCTGTCATGCTCTGCATTGTTGCATTGCTGTGTCCAGGCAGAGTCAGGTTCTTCCCTTGGAAACCCTTTTTTGGGGGAGGGCTTATTGCAGAGGAGCAAAGCACTTGGTAATGATGAGCTGGTGTTAGTATCCAAGAACTGGTCTGATGCAAATGCTCAAGGAAAACTCTGTTGATTCCAGGCCTGGCCCAGGTGCTGTTTTGCTTAAAAATAATAATAATAAAAATATGTGCATGTGTTGTTCTGTGGTTGTGTAGATGGTAGAAGCATTGTCTTCCTGGCTGTTGGCTGGATTTCTGCAGCACTCCCCTCTGTTAGAGAGGAAGCTGTGGTGTCACACACTTCATCCTTCCACGGCTTGTGTAGCAGAGCATCCTGTGTGTGTTACAGTTGGTCGGTGTGAATTCTTGATGACTGTTTCCTATGGACAGGCTGGGGTAGCTGCCCAACTCTGTCCAAAATGAATCTGTGCAGAGACACCCAAATGCTTGGCACTTGCTTGGACTGTGGGGGAAGCTGCCTCCTGGATGCCCCTCAAACCAGTCTGGGTGGACCAAGGGGCCCAGGAAGGGCATGACTGCACGGTGTGGTGGGCAGGGGTCTCATGAGATTCCTGTTGCTTCCAGGTGGCAGATGCTATGAGGCAGATGCAAGAGAAGAAGAATGTTGGAAAGGTTATCCTGGTTCCTGAAGCACCCAAGGAAGAATCCAAAAAAGAAGAGAACTAAGGAGAAGCAATGTGTGCAGATTGTGAATTCATGGTTTAACTCCCTGATCTCTTTGGGACCTGGAAATGGACAGATCAGTAGCTTCCATCTTCACCAGTACAAGAAGATCGTGGTTAAAGTTCAGATGAGGTTTGCATGCTCTCCTTGTGACTGACCCTTTGCCAGATACGCCTCCTGCCCCAGCTCTCTGTTTTGAAGCCTGTTTATTTCATACATTTTTCTAGTCACTTGTTTCTCTACTGAATTTCCAAACTAACCGTATTTTTCTCTGGCCGTGCGGCTGAAGCTTCCAGGCAGTTGCTGATTAACAACTGCACAGCCTGTCACTGCAAAGCCAAGGTGTAACACGCTGTAGCAGGTGCCAGGTGTCTCCGCAGAAGCTGCGCCCTGCCGGAGCGTTTGCGCGGTCACCTTTGAGAAGGTTGTTCAGCAG